CTCATCCCAAATTGGTTCTCAGAAATGTGCGCAACAAAACTCTCGGGGGACCCTGAGGGAGCCTGGATGAAGTGCGCTGGTTCCCTGCCAGGGCAAAGAACAAAAGAATATTCTGTACGAAAAAGCTCTTTTTCTTTTCTTTCCTTTCTCTTTTCTGGAAGAGGAGCGAAGTGTTTCTATTTTTCTGCATTGTGCACAAAATCCTAAAGACCATAAATCAATCCCCAAAAGTACACACATTAATGTTAATGCAGTCAGAACAGGAACTGCTGAGCAAGAAACTGTTAAACAGTAAAGAAAGCAATGAAAACAAAGGATTCCGGCCTTAGATACTATTAGGAGCATCTCTTGAGAGACACTCATTTTACTAACAAGTATCTCTGGGGTGAGGGTGGCGGGTGCAGGGTGATCTTCAGACTGTGCTCCAAGGAGCCTCCTTGATGAGCAGATGACTCCTGGGACCAAGCAGTGGCTGGGGGAGGAGGTGGGTCACCTTTCCAGTAGGTTCCAGTGGGGCTACCCTATGTGTCCCGCTAAGTAGACACAAAGTCAGAGTCCCCAGACACCTCCAACTAGAGTCTAGAACCACTGTACTCGCTTTACACGTGGGTCCTCGGGAGAATATTTTCTTCCAGGAAGGAATCCCAGAGGAGGGAGAATTCCATAGAATAGAATCGCCTTGAGGCTTAAATCAGACCTGGTTCTAGCCTAGAGTTTTTTAAGAGGTAGACAACTTAACTGCACCTTCTATAGGTCTAGACTTCGTTATAAAATAAAATGGCTTGATTATAAATCATCTCTAATAGCCCTTTTAAGTCTAAATCTCCAGAATCGGCTGGGCACCATGGTCCACGCCTGTAATCCCAGCAGCACATTGGGAGGCCAAAGCGGGACTATCACCTGAGGTCAGAAGTTCAAGACCAGCCTGGCCAACATGGTGAAACCCCGTCTCTATAAAAATTAGCCAGGCATGCTGCTGGTGGTGGGCACCTGTAATCCCAGCTACTTGGGAGGCTGAGGCAGGAGAATTGCTTGAATCCGGGAGGCAGAGGTTGCAGTGAGTCGAGATCATGCCACTGCATTCCAGCCTGGGCAACAGGGCGAGGTTCCATCTCAAAAAAAAAACAATCAAACAAACAAAAATTCTAGAATCTATGTCACCAAGTCTTTCAAATGAAGATAATGACAACTGTCTCTGTATAGCAACTCAGCTCTCAGGAACTTTTCCTGTTCAAAGTTTCCAACAGACTTATATTGAGTTCAGAGACCACTACCCTGAACACAAACGAGGGATTAACTTTTAGTTAGAATTTATGGAATGTTACGTCTATTAATTCTTTACTCTGAAATTAACATCTAAAACACACACACACACTGAAAACCCTACCAACACTCTAATCTAGACCGCAGTTCAGCTTTATTTTCTCGATCTCCCAGAGCTGTTCTTTTTTCCTGGAACTAGGGAACATTTTATGTGTTAAAATAAGGCTAGAGAAATAGAAGCCCGTACCATCTATAACAAGTCAAAAGGCCACTGATTTTTCATTTAGTTGATAGTGCTGACTTGATCTGTTTTCAAGAAATGGTTTTCCTTTTGCTGGATTAAATACTAGTGACAGGCCAAAGCAGAGTAAGGAAAAACAAATAATGGGTTTCACTAAGCTCTCTTTCTGGCTTGGCTATTAACCAGTTGCGTGGCCTGGAGCACATTACCTAACCTTTCTGAATCTCAATGTATTCATCTGCAAAATATGGATAATAACACACCAGCGCCCCTAATGTTCGTGTGCCGCTGCCATCAGAGGGTTAAATGAGAGAAAAAGGGTAAGGCCAGGCCCGGGAACAGGCAAAATGTTGGTTCTCTCGCTGACTCTCCAAAGCGTGAGCATTGGCTTCATTTTCAAAAGTATGGACACTGCCACTCATGAACTCTGGTGGTGAAAAAGAAACAAGTTCCAGAGGTTCCTTGTAGGTTGAATCAGGTCCAGAGCCAACCCAGAGTCAAAGCAAAAGTGAAGCTCCCGAGCCAGGTGCAGTGGCTCATGCCTGTAATCCCAGCCCTTCAAGAGGCCGAGGCAGGAGGACACTCGAGCCCAGAGTTCAAGACCAACCTGGGCAACATAGCCAGTCCCTGTCTCTACAAAAAGTAAACAAATTAGCCGGGTTGGTGGCACACGCCTGTTGTCCCAGCTACTCAGGAGGCTGAGGTGGGAGGATCACTTGAGCCCAGGAGATGGAGGCTGCAGTGAGCCAGGATCACGCCACCGCGCTCCAGCCTGGGTGACAGAGCAAGACCCTGTCCCCCCTCCAAAAAAAAAAAAAAAGGAAGAAGAAGAAGAAAAGTCAGGCTTCCAAAGCCTGACTAAACATCTTACCTAAACATCTTGAAGAAACCCAAGTTGCTTCCTAGTTTTCAATGTTAAGGTCAGTGGAAAAGGAGATGATGGAGATTGCGGGATTTACTATCAGTTCAGACACTAAGGGTTTAACAGCTGGCAAACTAGGCCTCATTTCTTCAGCCATCATCAGATTTAGCTAATCTGAATTCTTCTAATTGGAAATAGCTATTAATCTAAATTGCTCTCCTGCTTCTCTAACAAAACAAAAAAATGACTTCAGAATATGAACCTTACAAAAACTGAATCATACGTTAGCCCAAATGAATTATACAATGAAGAATTTATATAATTATATTACAGGAGGAGTCTAATGAGTCTGATTATGTTGGCCAATTAAAGGAAGGGTCAGCTGGGCGAGGTGGCTCATGCCTACAATCCCAGCACTTTAGGAGGCTGAAGCAGGCAGATCATCCAAGGTCAGGAGTTCGAGACCAGCTCAGACACACGGCAAAACCCCGCCTCTACTAAAAATACAAAAATTAGCTGGACATGGTGGCGCATACCTGTAATCCCAGCTAGTCAGGAGGCTGAAGCAAGAGAATCGCTTGAACCTGGGAGGTGGAGGTTGCAGTGAGCAAGATGGAGCCATTCCACTCCAGCCTGGGCAACAACAGCGAAACTCTGTCTCAGAAAGTAAGAAAGAAAGAAAGAAAGAGCCTCCACCTATATCACTCAAATGTAATTACCCCACGGTGTACCTGTGGGTATTTCTGTGCAAAAACAGAATGGGAAAAACATCTGCCTGAGTGTTTCAGAAAGCCTGAAAAGGGAGCCAACTAGGATAAAGAGATTGTGTAGGTAGTAGAGAAGATTCTAGAACTGGTTCTTGTCTTATTACTTGCAATTTTTTGTGTATTTCATGCAGTCCCAACATTGCTCCTAGAATCCTAACTCATCAAAAAACAAGGTCATGAGGAGATAGAATAGAGGGATTCACGCCTCCGGGCTGAACTACTCCAGCTCAGCTGCCCACAGTCTCCACCTTTTCTGGAAAGACTCCTATACACCAGTGCCATTCATTTGCCTTTCTCTTTCTCCACAAAACTATGTGCTGCCTCTCCACGATCAAGGTCGTATACAACTCGAATCTCTGCCTACCCGCCTGGCATCCACCCTTCCCGACCCTGCTTAAACGCTGCCTCCTCAAATGCCAAGGAACTCCAAAACTCGGTTGATCATTCTGGTGGGTGCTGACCTCTCCCTCCTTGGCAGCCTGGGTCCCCGTGATACGTTTTGTAAACTGGTAGCTACTTTGATCTTGTCTTGGAATGTACTTCGGTCTTGCCTTAACCCTTGGTCTAGATGGCAAATCCAGACAGCCCCTGTGGGTGAGCTCAGCCACGTTCTCAGGTGCCTTTTTCTCCCCCAAAGCACATCGTCCCTCTCACCAAGTAGTGGCTCGATGACATATCTGATAGTTTCAAGGCACCGGATTTAAATATAAAGACTGTTTTGGTCGCTGATTTCATGTGTGTTGCCATACCAAACCACCTTAGTGAGTTTCACGTGGGCTTGCTTGGCTTTAGGCTCCCTGGCTGTCCTGGACAGAGACGCTCAGCAATCCTGAAATCACCACAAAGGTGGGGAGGAAGAAGGGGAAGAAAGGGAAGCCGGGGCTGGAATAATCCTCTCTGAGTCACCACTTCCTTAATGCCGGAGCTCGCAGCTTCGCAGGATCAGGAGAAGGGCAGCAGAGCCGCGCGTGGAGGACGAGCCCCCGCCCCGCCCCGCCCCGCCCCGCGCCCCGGGCCCCACGCCCGGGGCCCCACGCCCCACGCCCCCAGCCGGCAGCCGGCAGCCGCGGCCCCGGCACCGCGTGCTGGAGCGCCCTCCTGTGGCCCCGCCGCAGGCCCCGCCGCTCTCGGCTCGCGGGCCGACCAAGCTCCCCGCGGCGGAAGAAACAAGAGACGCAGAAAGTTTCCGAGCCAGGCGGTTTGCGAAAGGACGGAGCCGCGTCTGGGAGCCTCGAAGGGCTGACGTGCCGGGAGCGGCGCCCAAGCCCGCGGCGACGGCGAGAAGTCGGACCCGGAAAGATCTCCCGCCTAGGGCTCCGAGGTGCCCCCCGCGGGACTCAGGACGTGCAGATTCCGAGGGCGCGGGGCTTCTCCTCGCACCCCGACCTGACCGCGGAGGGCGGGGAGGAGAGGCTGGGCCCACTGCCAGGACGGGGCGCCCCCCGCACCCCAGCTACAGCGAACGCTGGGGGCCCTTGGGTTTGCTTTATTCATTTTCTTATTTGGAGGGAGGGGGCGCACCCACTCCTTTAGGCTCATTGTGATCCCCAACAGTCTGGATTCTGGGCGCCCCCAAAGAGCCCTCCCGGAGTCCGCCGCCCCACCCAGCGCCGCCCTGCCTCGCTGGGGTGACAAGTGGAAGCCGCAAATGCCCCTCCTTGTCTCCTCCAGCCTTCGGGCTTGCGAGGTACCGTTCACCTGGGTTTCCTGCCGCCCGCCGGGGCTCGCCGGCCGGGAAGCGGCGGCGGGGATCTCGGAGCGGGCGAGGCCGGGCCGGGCCGGGCGCGGCGCTTACCTCGTCCACGGTGAGCGGCATGCAGATCCGGTACTCCTTCAGCAGCATGGTCCTGCCGGCCGCGGACCTCCGGGGCGGGAAGCGGGGGGCGCCCCCCAGATCAGCAAGGCTGCCGCCCAGGCGCAGGGCAGGGCGCCCGGAGCCCCGCGCTCGGAGCCGGCGAGCGAAGCAGCCTCCGCAGCGCGCTCAGCTCCTGGCTTCCTCCTCTCCGCCCCGGAGCATGTCAGGGTTTGGGTCCGGGTGTTCGCGGCTCCCCCGCCTCCTCCGTCGCCGAGGCCGGTGCTCCCGGAACGCGGTGTTGCAAAGTCAGGCAGCAGGGAGACCCGCTAGGGACGGCTCTGCTCCTAAGCCCGAGGTGGTAGGAGCGGCCGCCAGATCAGGACATGCCCGGCAGCGGGCGAGGGAGGAAAAAAAAGAGAGGTTCCCCAAAATCAAAACGAATGCACAAAAGTCCCCCGCTCGATCCGCCCCCGAAAGCAGACGGGAACCTGGCGACCCCCCTCCTCCGGCGGGTCTGCCCGAGGCTAATGTCACCAGGAACACATCGCAGCCGGAGCGGGAGATGCTGACTTTCCAGACAAAGGCTCGATCGGCTCCTCTCCGCGGGCGGTAAACAAGATTTCCTGCTCTTTTTAGGGCCCGTCCCCGCGCCACTCCGGGGCTCGGCTCGGGGAGAAAAGGGAAGCCGCCGCCGCCGCCGCTCGGCTCTGCCCGCCTGGAGCCCCGGGCGCCTCCAACCTCGGCTCGCGGCTGCCAGGGGCGGGCGGGAGGAAGCTGGCGCCTTCCGCGTGCGTCCCCTCCCCCGAGTCCCTCGGCTCCCCGGGCGCCGTGCGTGCCCGCGAGTTTGCAGCCACCTCGCCGGGCCGGAGCGTCCGCGCCGATGCAGTGTGCCTGGGGCCGGGAGGTGGGTGCGGGAGGAGCGAGCGCGAGCGAGGCTGACATCAGCAGCGGCCGCGGCGGGGAGGGTAGCCCCATCCGGCCAATGGGGAAATGGCAAAGAATGTGGAGGATTTAAACAAAACAGCATGTCTCTGCCAGACGGCGGGGCTGCTCGGGAGCAGAGCCCGGCGGGCGCTGGGGAGGCTCGGGCAGAGGGGCTTCCCTCGGCTCGTTTGCCCTCTGAATCCGCTCTCCAATGTGCTCTGAGTGCCACCGTGCTCCGTGCAGCCGCTCTGGGCAGTTTCTGGTCCCCTGACCCTAGGGACAAGTCACCAATGCCCACCACCTATTTGGGGTCCAGTCAGCAGGTCCAGGGTTTCTTGGAGAAGCAATGGGTGGGATTTGGGAGCCCGAGAACAAACCCTTGCCTGGTTTCAGAGGAGAGATCCTGGAAAACTGGAAAGTGCAGCCGTGTGAATGGAAATGAAGTACAAACAGGGGGAGGGAACAACCAGAGAGAACAGGAACCCCATGTAGCCTGTTACCTTGCCTGGCCCGGCTCTGTAATCTCTGTAGATTGTGCAGGCTCCGCACAGCAGAAAGAAAGAGTGGGTTTTTGGATCTGCACTCCCAAGTTCAAAAAGTCACAGTAAAATGTCAATGAAAATGCCTGGGGTGTTGCTATTTCATCCATATTAAACAGATCCCTCATTTTAACCACAAGAAGCACATTCTTCAGTTACTCAGGAAGCAGCATGAAACTGCTGAAGACTGTTTTTCATTTGTCTGGTATTTTTCAACTTGTTTTTCTGAAAAGTTGCCGGATGAAAAATGCATCAGTTGCCTGTATGAGAATAACCTGCAAGCGTTATCTTTTCTCCGAAAAAATCTTCACACTCTTTTAAGTCCTGAGGCTAGAGCTTGGGTGGCGATACCGATGCCTCAGTATAGTATTTTGAATTGTGATTAATAAGTAATTAACCAATATGATGTCGATGGGCTTGTGGCAAAAGTCATCCAGAGGGCTGGAGAGAATTTATAACTGTGTGAACTAATACAGACCCTGCTAGGAAAATGATACACTATATCCAGCTTATATTTTAGTGGAAACTATTTTCCAGATAAATGCTTTCCAGAGTTGGCTCAGAAATATTCACAGCAACTAATTAAAGCTAAACCAAATTCCTCGAGGTGGAAAATCTAAATCTGACACTGCAGTGTTGAATAATAACACATTGAAAGTCTGTGATATGGAAAGAAACTCAAGCTGTTTTTTCTTTTTTCTTTTTTTTTACTTCTTACTTGAAAACAAGTGGAAGACCTAATAATCTTCCCAGAGGCAGGAAGGCAATGGATTGGCTAGCCACACATACGCATGCACGTAGGACATTGGGATGTGTAGGCTGGGTTCCTGGTTCCTGGACATTTCCTGACACCGATTCTGGAAGGATGTATTCTACTGATGGGTGACACGGTTGAGGATCAACTTTTTTGAATTTCCCAAACTGTAAATTGTCACATATATGCTTCCTCCGAAACCCCTCCTATTGTTCTTGTTTTTGAGACAGAATTTCGCTCTTGTCACCCAGTCTGGAGTGTAATGGTGCAATCTCAGCTCACTGCAACCTTCACCTCCCAGGTTCAAGCAAATCTCCTGCCTTAGGCTCCAGAGTAGCTGGGATTACAGGCACCTGCCACCATGCCTGGCCAAGTTTGTATTTTTAGTAAAGAGGAGGTTTCACCATGTTGGCCAGGCTGGTCTCAAACTCCTGAGCTAAGGTGATCACCTCCGCCTCCCAAAGTGCTAGGATTACAGGCATGAGCCACCATGCCAGGCCCACCCCTTCTGTTGTAAGGTGACGTTTTCATCAGATTCTCAATTTTCTTTTCATTCAGTGCATCCACAGACCTGGTCATACTAATCTTGTGCAAGTACAGCTCTCATCCTGCCACCTTCAAAACCTTTTAGTCATTCTCAGCTGGGCTCGGTAGCTCACGCCTATAATCCCAGTACTTTGGGAAGCTGAGGAGGGCTGATTGCATGAGCCCACGAGTTCAAGACCAGTCTGGGCAACATGGCAAAACTCCGTCTCTAAAACAAGTAAATAAAATATATATATATACCTTTCAGTGATTCTCTATGGCCTAATGAACTAGTCGAAATCCCTTGGTAGGAGGTTCAAGGCTCTGGACCTATCTTTCCCACGTTAGTCAATTACCCTTCCCAGCCCAACTCCAACGAAATGAGAAGAGTTGGTTGGCTGCAAAAGCCCCTCCTCCCCTGCCACCTTTCTACCTTAACCCTTTTGTTGGTCCCATTGCCTTCACAGAGAATCCCTCTCCCCAGCTCAATCCCCATGATACCATTTTAAAGCCGGGCCTTGGCAATCTGTGCTTCAGACGGCAGTTCTAATAGAAGTGAGCTGGAGAGGAGAGCAGAGGGGAGGGCGGGGTGCAGGGCACAGGGAGGGCATATTCATTCATAAGTCATGCACACTGAGGGTGGGGCACGCCATCTACTGGCCAAGCGCAGTGGTTTAGAAATAATGAAGTCCTGTCCTCAGCAAGTGTCTGGCAAGAATTGTATCTTTGTTTCTTCTCAACCAATGAAGTCGCAATATCTACTTACAAAGAGCCTTGAAGCTGTTGCTATCATCATTATGGATAGTCATGATGTTCCATTAACAAGGTACAATCTGCTGTGGCTGATCATCGCATTTTTAAATGGGGGTGGGGCACAAAAGGCAAAAAGAGGAACAAAAGAGTAAAGTTACCAGAGAAGAATAAGACAAAGAGGAAAAGAATATGAGGTTCTGCATGTCCGTGACAACATCTGTTCTCAGATAAGTGACAGCCCCAGAAAGCAGGGGCTCTCAAAACGCAGGAGGGGGTAATGGCACACCAAAATCATCTAAGAAGACTTTCGACCTATTCTTTTTGAGGCATTCTGATGATCTCTTTAATTCTGTTTGTGTGAAAAAACTAACAAAGCTTGACGCACCTCTGTAAACAGCCTCTGAAAGAAGAATGTATTAACAGGAATTTCTGATGATCAAAAAATCAAGTCCAGGAGCAGTGGCTCAGGCCTATAATCCCAGCACTCTGGGAGGCCGAGGCAGGTGGATCACTTGAGGTCAGGAGTTCGAGACCACCTGGCCAATATGGTGAAATCCTGTCTCCACTAAAAATACAAAAATTAGCTGGGCGTGGTTGCTTGCACCTGTAGTTCCAGCTACTTGGGAGGCTGAGGCAGGAGAATTGCTTGAATCTGGGAAATGGATCTCTCAGACACCAAATAGAGGAGGAAGGAGGGTTTATTCGGCTGGGAGCAAGGTGGCATAGTTGCCTAACAGCCAAGCTCCCCTAACAAAGGAAGGTTCCATCTTTATATCGGCTTATACTTTAGATGTTACACATGGAAGAATCTTAGGTTTGTAACTTAACATATCAAAAGGGTCTCAGTTTACAGTCTCAGGAATTACATATGAAAAGGGTTTCAGTTTATAGTCTTAGGAATTACATATAAAAAGGGCTTCGGTTTACAGTCTTAGGAATGAAAAGGGGAAGTTTATAGTCTTAGAAATGAAAAGGGGAAGTTGATCTGAGATGCCTGGGTCTCCCTCTTCACCTCCCCCCCCCCGAGACCCTCACCACTTTATAATAATTAGTGAGAGGTCTCACTTTCATTCTCACTTTCCAGATTTTCTGAAGAAACCGACTGATAATGTTTCATGTAATATACTTGTGATGTCATTTTTTGGCTAATACAGCAGTGATGAATCCCCTAATCATCTGAAGGAACAGGGGAGTAGACAAGGGAGCAGTAAACAAACACCTATTATTATTAGAACGCTTATGATGAGGGTTTTGAATCCTCCCAAGGATGAGAACCAACCTCCAAATAAGGACTCAGGGTTAAATCCGTGCCACACCTGTACAGGCACAGTGTGCCAGTTTGGCCATGTCTTGCACGATATCCTCCACTGCTTGCTCCTGGTCATCTATGTGCAGACAGCAGTTGGTTAGATTGAATTTTCCCCAGACTCCTCCTTCAGCTGCTAGCAAATAATCTAGGGCCAGTTGGTTCTGATAAATCGCATTTCTCATTTGAGTTTCTTGTTGGGCCAAGAGGGACAGAGCTTTGCCCATTTCATTAGTATTTCCAAAACAGCCTGCTAACAGATGATCTGGTGGAGCATGTAAATAGGGCTCCGGTATCCCTATGAGCCATCCTCAGCCCATGTGGCCAGCCCATAGTACTCAATAATTCTCTCCGGTGGCCACTCACCATCTGTCCAATTCCCTAGTTTTAGGTCTCTCTTCTCCCTAGCAGAGTAAACTGGATGCCCTAACAGCTCACCTATCTTAACAGATAATAGGAAGAAAGAGGGCTTAATGATGCCTATGACGCAGCTACCTGTCCACCTCATGGATTACACACCTTATATTGAGTGACATTATATAAACAGGTTCCCTTCTGTGTCCCCGTACATTTATAAGAACTGCAGGATAAAAGAATGGCAGTAACTTTTACGTCCTACCTGGTGTGCATACTGAGGGCATTCTTCAAAATTAGTTAGTGTTCCTACTGTGCGAGTCCAAATATTAAGAAGAGCAAGTCCCACGATGAATCTCCTCATGCTTCGGCCGTGGATGGACCAGCCAGCTTCCAGAATGTGGTTGGAGCAAGACTTGTCCTTTTTTAAGGTGATTCTGCAGTCCTGGCCTTGGTCTAAGGCTCAGCTGCTGGTGGTTTTTACATGGCTGTGGTGGATTCAAACTGGGATTCCCTCTACCTTCACAGCTGTGGAATTTGTCAGGCTCAGATCTGAAGTCCTTTCCATTGTGGCTTTAGAGGGGCTGTACTCCCGTCCTTTATCTACACGTGATTACCTAGTGAGAAAGGGTGAACTGGGGAGAAAAAGGCTTATAGGACATTTGTTATTTACTTAAGTTGACGTATCCTGAGCAACTCTCCTTAGAGCTGGTAACTAGCATCCTAACTCAATCTCTCCCCACTCCCCAGGAGTTACTAGGAGTGCCCAAAGTAGGGGAGGGGGCCTATGGTATAAGACTTAATAGGGGAATATCCTGTT